TAGAATGTGGAGATGAATTGTCCAGGATTATTGCTGAGCCTGGGATTTTGCTTGATGCCTGCTACTTTCAGAGAAAGGACAAAACTGGAAAGCACTCGACACAGTAAGGAGGCCAGTCCAATATCTGTTCTTGAAATGTATTGATCCAGTAAAAGAGAAGGGCCATGTACATTTACTTTTCAGTTTTCTGTCAGGTATGTAACAGTTTGTTGATGGACAGTTTGATCTCAAGAGGAAGAGGAAATGTGAATAGTTTATAAGGATACACTGTTCAGTAGATAGGAAGCCAGGCCATTCAAAAGAAGTGTTTATATTGTCTTATTTGGCAGGGTGGGGATGTTTAATTCTCACACTGGAAAGGCTAAGCCTTCTTTTTTTTCTTTGATGACTGCATTTTGACAGATTTATTCCAGGCAAGTTTCTATGGAAGAAAAACAAGCTTTACCCAGGAGTTGGATTGAAAACAAAATGGATGTTAGTTGAATTGGCTATGTAGGTCTGGGGAGGTTGTCATAATTAAAAGGTTCCTCTGCAATGAAAAGGTAAGTTTTTGCCATCTGGTGAAGTCATGCTGTATTTTGGATAGTAAAAGGAGGAGGAATCTGCTGTATGGAAGAGTTTGTCTACCAGGAGTGTCCACATTGGACAACAAATGCGTAGGGTAGGCATATCAGTTGGAATTCTTTGGGCAAGATGCTGTGCTGAAACTTAGCCAGGATGGATTGCTGCTAATCTCTGTATGCTTATTTTGAACTCGGAGAAGCTCACAGCTTAACTGCATTGTGGAATTGCAGGAGAGATGTATTGGATGGGGTGATAATTTTTTTTTATGAATTATTGGCAAATTATAGAAATAGTGTAGACCTAAAATAGACCTATTTTAATTCCTATAATCTTAGCCTCTGGGCCTGTTGGCATTGCCAGCAGCTCAGTGGGCATTACATGAGGGAGAGGGAACAGTTAGGAGTGTCCCTTTCTAGCTACTTACTAAAGATTGAAGGTAAGGGACTGTGCAGTATGGACTGGGGTGGAGGCATGGGAGATGCTGTGGGCTGAATAGCAAAGGAATTGGGTTTTGAACTAGAGTTAGTGATTTGCCCATCAAGAATGACCCAGGTGGGGGGCAGGCAGGGACGGGAAGCTTGCTAACCCTAAACCCCTCCTGCACTGCCTCCTGTCCACCATAATGCTCCTGAAATACTCTGGTTGGTTGTTTCAGTAGCCAATCAGAATGCTCCATGAGTGTTAGGGACAGACAAACAGATGGACTAAGCCCTTTATTATATTAGAATGATCTCATGGTGAGCCTGTTCATTGGATCAGCTTCTGCTTGATGGTCCCCCAAGAACACAATCTTTGGACGTTCATTATAAATATTCTTTTAGGCCCTCATGATTTCAGAGAACTTGACAATTCAGAGCTGGATGATGGATTTCTTATATCTGGCAATCTCCCAGCTCATCAGCTCTTCCAGATCTCCTGCCATAGGTTTATGGTCCCCTAGGGGAACCAGAATCTGAATGTTGTCAGTTCATAAGATCATAAAATCAGACCCAGGCGGCATTGTCCAGGTGATAGAAGACTGAAGCGGGAGTCAGGAGACCCAGAGTCTGCTTCAGCCTGTGTTACTGGCTTGCTCAGTGATCTTTCTTAGGTGTCTTTCTTAGAATGTGCCTTAGTTTCCACGTATGTAAAATGAGGATATTATTACTTGCTCCCCTGGCCTCAGTACACTGAGACCTACAGGTGAAAGCCGCTGTAAAAATGTGCAATATCGTAATATTTTATTGACACTGCTCAAAGGCAGCTTTTGCCTGTAAGATAACTCAAGGTTGAATGCATTGTTTGGTGTAAATTTAATGCTAAGTAAATATGTTGATGGAGAGGCTCTGTTAGTCCATAGCCAGGCTCCATTTCCATTGCACTGCTCTTTCCTTTGTACCTCAGCCTGTTCTACAGGATAAGAGAGAGTTCAGTTTTGATGGCCTGTTCAGACTTTGACCCCTGCTGCAAGGGAACTAACGAAGGCTCAAACCGTTTGCATTTATTGGTAAAACAAGGGAGATTGACAAACCCATAGCCAAGTTTCTGGGCTTGTACAGCTCTCCACGGCTGGGAAGTTTTAGGAGGGAGGTGGCCTGACGACCAGGTTTTGGAGTACTCTGCAGGGATCTGAACTAACTGCCCTTTCTGTTTTGAACCCCAAACTGAGGATATTCACTACATGTTGATTGGCACAGATGAAAATGCTCCATGAATCTCTGACGGCAAAACTAACCTCCATCCCATGCATGGTCCATGGTCCTAATCTGCTTTTAGCAGACTTGAATCACTCAAGTCCAGCTTTGGGAATACAGAACCCACCTACTCTGCCTTTCTTCCTGCCCTCTTCCCACAAGGGGTGATCAGATCAGAGAGGTGTACAGTCCCCAACCAGTATCTCAGAGAAAATAGGCTTAAACTGGAGTTGAGAGAGGCAGTTAGCTGTGTTAGTGTGAAATCAAGCAGAAAGCAGGGTAGAGATGCACCTTATAGACTAACTGAATCAGAGATGTCTAAGCTTCCATGCACAGGAGCTAACTTCATCAAAATGCTACTGGAGCTATTAGCTCAGCAGTAGCTGAGTCAGACCAACCTAAACAAAACTCTGGTTCACATTGCCCAGACTTGCTGCTCTCCCTTTTTTGTGGAGGGATGGTGAGGAGCTCTCCCCCCATAGAAAGTAGTAGGAGACCATTCCCCCTGAACTCACCTCTGCCCTGTATTTAGGGACCCTTTTGGAAAAAGCTGACACAATCCCTTCACCACAGCTAGCTCTACTCTGATAAACAGCAAAGGGACCAGTAGTGTCCCCCTGCTGCTCCCTTCCTTTCCCAGGGGAGAAAGAGACAGGCAGCAAACCTTTGATGTGCAGGCATGGGCCTAGCTGACATGCCCTGTGTGTTCATGTGAGCCTGGCCTGGCGCCAGCTCCCTTTGAAGTGCTCCAGTGATCAGGATGAAAGGGAAAGGAGTCCCTCCCCAAAACATCTGGCCCTAATTGCAGGTACAAGTGTCTCTGCATCCCTGGTGAGAAGAGGAACTCCTGCCTTTTCCTTAATCCTGCAACTACCAGGAAGGAAGGGCTTAGGGTGGTGATACAGGAGAGGACTAGGACACAAAACGGGGTGTAGGGTAGACACCAGTAAATACATAGTGACTGTGAGGTGCACTAGAGAAGTGGTTCTCAACCTCGTTAGACTCAAGGCACCCATTTGGAGAATGCCAGCTCCTAGCTTTCACTCTTTTTTTTGACTACAGAAAAATACTAGAATAATTCTTCTATTGCAAAGAACTCAGAAAGACCACAGTAGATCAAAATAGGTTTTGCAACTCTGGATTCCTGCTTGAAATCTCTGGGTTTATCTTGTGAATCATGAGGAGGTGTTTATGCACCTAACAGTGCTCATATTTTATGACACCTTGGAAAAGATATCATGGCACTCCACGGAGCCATAGCCCCTTGGTTGAGAATCATTGCACTAGAGCATGAAATTGGATGAAAGTGAGAGCTGTATTGCTTAACGCATTGGATCCTAGAACAGTGAAGTGTCTTTCTTTGGGAACCTCCCTGCTATGGGTGAGCAAGGGCTACAGTGCAGAGGGCTGGATAGCTTTTCCCAGCTCTGATGTCTCAGATGTACTAAAGTTTGCAGTTCCTTTGACTCCCCCTCCTCCCCCCTCCTTAATACCAGTGTGGGTCAAATGCTGAAATTAGTAATGTAGGAATCTAGCTTAAGAGCTTCCTTTTGAAGGAATTTGTCCTGTCTGTGTCCAAGTCCACCCTAGCCCATCCTGCCTGTCCACCCTAGTTCATCAGGCTGCATAGAAATGGCACTTGCACAGCTGTTTCTTGCTGCATCCCCAGACAAGAGCAGGAATACAGAGAGAAGCAAGGTTTGGTGTGCTGTAGAACAGATAAGAACATCAAAAAAGTCAGATCAACTCATTAAACAGCTCAGTTGTGACACAGCGCCATTTACAAGTAGTGTTGTGTCACAGTCTGCTACAGAGGAAGGCATAATTAGCCATTTTCTATTATGTAAAGAAATGTAAAATGTAGCCATCTATTGCCAGCAAGTTCTAATTTTTTCCCCTTGCCTTTTAGTAAGTGATTGGTTCAAAAGGTAAAATATCCTTGTTCTTTAAAACATCTGCAGTCCCTGTACTATGACCTAATTCTGAGGTCTTTCAAATAAACTGTTTTCTCTAATATCAGTAAATAGCTGACAGACATCCAGGTCACGTAGGGGAAATATTCCCTCTCATTTTAATGCCCCAAGCTTGTGTATGGGAAGGCAACTTTATGACCATTAACAATCTTTGTAGTATTCTATGCTTCAGAGTGAAAACCCATTCCTGCATGGGACAGAAGCGGGCATAGAATTTTTTCCATCACCTAAAATACATTGATCTTTAGCCTTTTCTGCAGAGTCTGGTCTTTGAAGAATGCTGGAGAAAATGGACAGGTGGATTGGCCTGAAATAAGCAGGGAGGTAGGACTGCCAAATGAGATGGAACACTGGTTAAACAAAGAGCTTCAAATAGTGGACAGGATGGACCAGTAGTTTTTTTTCTAATGTGCTAGGGAGCTAGGAAATGCCAAACTTAAAACGTATTTAATTTGTTCAGATATGGCAGGGATACTGGACCAGTTGGTATGATCTGGAGCTACAGAGAGGTAAATCAAATGGGATAGGTGGACCACTGGGCCAATTGAGGGTATCGATTAAGAAATTCTTTGCTTGTATGGCATGTTATGAGGTGCAAGCCTCGTGTTTTTTCTTTTCAGGCATGCTTCGTGCACCTATTCTTCAACTCCTGTGTGTTGCTCTTAGCCTCAGAACAACAGCGCCCCTGTCCTGTCCCTTGCGTTATGTTGCAGGGAAGACATCCAGAACGGTAGTTTGTGAAGTGGTCAGCATGGGTTTAGAGCTGGAATTGCTGAATCTCTCATTTCAGGTTTCTACTTCGTCTGACACCCGTTCAGCCCAGGAAGAAGAGATGCCACAGTCCAGCAAGGTTCGGGGTCTGAGGAGAAGTGGGCCAGCAGGGCTGCGCCGGCATAAGCGCCGGTGGTCATCCCAGCAGGCTACTAGGAACCAGCTGTTGCCACTCCAGCCCAGCAGGACTAGCCAGGAGGAGAGCACACCCTTTGTACTGGACTTGCAGAACCTGCCAGGGTTGGCCAATGTCAACCTGAGTGCTCAGAACCCAAATATACAGGTAGGAATGCAAGGATACGTGTTGCTGACTGATGCTAGGCCCCTTGAGCAGAAGCAAGAAGTAACACAGCTGGATTATGCAAATAAAATAACTTGGGTAGAGAGTATCCTGGGGTGTGTCCATCTTCTTTAGGGAAGGGACCAGGGGACTGTGGTGGTGTGGTCGCTAAGGCACATGGTTGACAGCCCACAAATTGTAAGTTCAAGGCCATAGCACGGCCCTGTCAAATTCCAAATGAATCTGTGAATTCTGCTAAATACCTTCATAAAGACAAGAAAAAGGGGAGAGATCCATAATGTCACTGCACTCAATCTTGCTTTCATTCTTCTGCACCATCCCAGAGATCAGTGAGGAGATCAGGTCTTTTCTGCAGAGCTGCTGTCCAGCCAGTCAGTCCCTAGCCTGTACTGGTGCATGTGATTGTTCTGTCCTAAGTGCAGAACTCTATTGAACCTCGTGAGATTTCTTTTGGCCCAATCCTCCAATTTGTTGAGGTCTCTCTGAATCCTAGTCCTACCCTCCGGCATATCTACTACTCCCCCCAGGTTGGTGTTGTCTGCAAACTTGCTGAGGGTGCACTCTATGCCATCTTCCAGGCCGTTGATGAAGACAATGAACAAAACTGGCCCTAGGAGCAACCTGGTTTCATTAGGGGCAGGTCATGTCAACCAACCTGATTGCCTTTTACGATCAGGTCACAAAAGCATTGGATGCAGGTGTCACCATGGATGTAGTTTTTCTGGACTTCAGCAAGGCCTTTGACACCATCTCCCACCCCATCCTCATTAAAAAACTAGGCGACTGTGGCATTGATGCCTACACGGTCAGATGGATTGCTAATTGGCTGAAGGGTTGTACTCAGAGGGTGGTGGTGGACGGGTCATATTCGACCTGGGGAGAAGTGGGCAGCGGGGTCCCCCAGGGCTTGGTCCTTGTGCCCGCACTGTTCAATTTCTTTATCAGTGATTTGGACAACGGGGTGAAAAGCAACCTGTTCAAATTTGCTGATGATACAAAAATTTGGGGTGAGGTGGGCACGCTAGTAGGGAGGGAAAGACTGCAGAAAGACCTGGATAGGTTGCAAGGGTGGGCTAACAAAAACAAGATGCATTCCAATACGGACAAGCGCAGGGTGCTGCGCTTGGGCAGTAGTAACTGGCAGCACACTTATAAGATGGGAAACTCCCTTCTTGAGAGCACGGAGGCAGAAAGGGATCTTGGAGTCATCACTGACTCCAAGATGAACATGGTACTGTGTCCAGTTCTGGGCACCACACTTCAAGAGGGATGTGGACAATGAGAGTGTCCAGAGGAGGGCCACCCGCATGATCCGGGGACGGCAGGGCAGACCCTACTATGAGAGGCTACAGGACCTGAACCTGTTCAGCCTTCACAAGAGAAGGCTGAGGGGGGACCTTGTGACTGTCTATGAACTCACTAGGGGGGACCAGAAGGGTTTGGGGGAGACCTTGTTTCCCCCAGCGCCCCCCCGGGATAACAAGGAGTAACAGCCAAAAGTTGTTGGAGAGTAGGTTTAGATTAGACATCCATAGGAACTACTTCACAGTCAGGGCAGCTAGGATCTGGAACCAACTTCCAAGGGAAGTGGTGCTGGCTCCTACCCTGGGGGTCTTTAAGAAGAGGCTCAATGCCTACCTGGCTGGGGTCACTTGAGCCCAGTTTCCCTCCTGCCCAGGCAGGGGGTCGGACTTGAAGATCTACAAGGTCCCTTCCGACCCTACTTCTATGATTCTATGAGGACCTCCGTTTGATACCAACTACCAACTAGACATCAAGCCATTGATTACTGTTAGGGGCAGGGGGGAATGTGCGGGGAGAGGTGGGTTTATGTGTCTGGATTGGATGTGAGAAGAGACATGATTCCTAGATTAAATGGAACATGAATTCTACTAGGCTTAATTCTTACCTTGCCCGACCCAACTGGCCCAGGCCAAATCATCAGGAAAATAAGGAAGGAAAAAGAGTAGAGTGATGGAGTTCTGTGAGAACAAGCCCCAAAAATCAATGTTTAGAGCAACCTGCTGATGTTTTTCATCTTACATGGGTAAACTCTCCTCCCCTCCCCCTACCCACATGGGGCTGACAAAATCCATTGGGGAAGCACCTGGTCGGGAACCCTCCCTCTCTGCAGAAGGATTGTGAGGAAACCTTATTGGGTGGAGAAGTTACTATATGTGACTCAGCTAGGCATGAGGCACAACCTCACAGACGGTCTACGGGTGGGGTTAGTGAGCCAGATGCTCACTCGTTTAGTCTGTCCTTGTTTGATCTCCTAATTGGAAAGCTTTTGAGTGAGGGCCCTGTTTCTGGGGTCTGAGACTGATTCCACATATCTTGGTAAGTAAAGCTCTGGAGCAGATAAGCTGCACCCATTTAGGATGGAAGCTGGTGACCCTTAAGCTCCTGGCACCCTGGAGAGAATGCTGAACCACCAGATCTGCTCATTCAGGATTCCCTGCACTCCTGGCCCCTCTCTCCAAAACCCGTCGGTGTAGTGGGAGGGGTGAGTTTGGGAAGTGCTCCTGAGAAATGAGAATGGTATCCCAAATGCCAGTCCTCTGCAGCTAGAGAGGTTTTCCCCAACCCTGCCTGGCTGGGCTAGCCTTTGCCAGACCCTTCTCCTGACTGACTTGTAGCACTCCCTGCTGTTCTAGCCCTGGCATCCCCACACATGCCTTGATCCTTACCAGCAGCATTCCCAGCAGCCATTCCAATCCTGGGTCTCTCCTCCCAGCTACAGAACACAGCTAGATTGTATTTTGTAACATAGGAGGATGTCTGCTCAGAGTAGGCTGAGAACCCATTGAATTAATTGCATTAGTGATGAAAACTGAAAAGACTTTTGGTCTCCCTGGAGATTGATTGGACTTTTTACACCTCCTCCCACCCCCAGTCCCAGCCAGCTTGTTCCACTAGAGAACTCTATGTGTGAGAAGTGTAACTTTGTCAGGTTAACTTGCCATGAACCCCAGGGACACTTGATTTCATAGGATGCACCCAGTAATTCATCCTCCCTAAGTGTGTGCAGTATGTCTGTTCCAGCCAAATTATCCCTTCTCTCCCCCTTACTCTTCCCCCCCCCGACTTTTCTCTACAATTGTGTTTGCATAGTATGTTAAAAATTGGGATGGAAAGGCCTTTTCCCATCACTAGAAATATGTTCCTCAACTCTTGGCCTGTCTCTGGTATCTCAGCATGCTTCACAGACTGCTTGCAAAGCCCTACAGGTCTCCTGGGATTCCCACATTTTGACCATTTTATACAATGCACCATTGTACATTGTTTTTAAATTACCGATTAAAGCTGGATGAAGGCAAAAACAAAGTATCACAGAAGTCTGGCTGTCACCGGTGCCCCACAGAGGCCCTTTCCAGTCCTGTGTTCCTGTGATTCAAGTAGCAAACTGTAAGATACGGAATATTAGCAGCTAGGAGAGGTGTCCTGTGGGAAGCAACCCTAAGCCAAAGGGGGAAGCCAGCTGTACTGTCTAGATCCTGAATTAGCAGTTTGGGGGCAAGCAGGAAAATCCATTCTGGCTTCTTTGTGGGAACCCCTAGCAACTGGGTTGTCAGCCATGAGCTCTGGCTTCAGTCCTGGCCTCCTCCCAATCAAACTGCCTGTTTCTGGCTTCCCAGGTGACCATTGAGGTGGTGGATGATCCTCAGGCAGAGATGGAGATGGACCTGCTGAAGGAGACTAGCAATGACTGGTCCCTGACCTCCTCTGAGTGGCTGTCCCACAGAGACCTCTTCTGGCCACTCTTCTGGGAATACACAGACCCCACTGAGGAGGAGGAGGAAGAAGATGACAACCTAGACATAGAGGATAGGGGGGAAGAGGAAGAAGAGGAGGAGGATTACACAGCAGAGTATGATGAAGAGGAGGTGACACTGAGCGGAGTGGGAGGTGACTGGGACCAGAGATGGTCAGGGCAAAAGAACTGGATCTTTAAAGAAAAATATAATTATGGTGAGTCATCTCTACCCCAGCCTCTGACAGCTACTCTCAAGATTTTCTGTGTCCACCTCACAGCTCGCTGGGCCCATGCTTTTATTGAAGGCTTTGGGAAGGTTCTTTAGGCAGCTAGGAGGAGGCAGAATGGTCTAATACAGGGATGTCAGACAGGTGGCATTTTTGAGTCATTTTCATGGCACACTCAATGTGCAGAATCTGGGTTTTCATTTGAAAAAATAAGGATATTTCTGGCCCTCTTAGGGCATAATTCCAGGAAATATCCAAGATCCCCTGGTGTGTCTGCTCCTCACTCCCCACATCAACATTACAGTAAAGGAGTTCAGCAGAGGGGTCACTAAAATGTGCTGCCTTGTGTTATACAGGAGGTCAGGCTGGATAATCTAATGGTCTTTTCTGGTCTGAGATTCCAGTGAAATGCCCTCTTCAGCTCTGGCTTCACTCCTATGAAGAGAGAGAGCAAATGTGGAGAGCAAATGAGAACTATGTAGAGAGCAAATGAGAACTGGGGGAGGCAGAAGCCAGGAGAATGCAAGTAGAGGGAGGCCAACAGGGACATCCTTTGTTTCTGGCTAGGTTTTGTGCAGAGGCCTTCATGCTTTGTCTGTTTCTTGCCATCCCCAGACTATGAAGATGAAGAGGAATGGAGTCCTTGGTCCCCCTGCAGTGTAACTTGTGGTAGTGGCAACCAGAAGAGGACTCGGTCCTGTGGCTATGCCTGCACAGCCACTGAGTCAAGAACCTGTGACCTACTCCAGTGCCCTGGTGAGCCCTCACTTGCCCCACCACTTCCCACCCTTTGTGCTGCTCTGATTCTTGGTAGTGCTAGTTTCCTGTCTCCTCTCATATCCTGAGAAGGCAGTATCATTGGACCTTCTCAAATTAATCTGCCTAATGGGCCCTGTCCAGAGCAAGATCCTGTTACTGGGAGTTGGTCGTGTCCCACAGGAAATGGGTTCCCTGCCTGGGGCAGGGTGAGAAAAGAGGTAACTCAAGGGAGTATCTGTCTCTGAGGCAAGGAGAATTTTATCCCTTTTTAACATTTTGAAGTGATCAGGGTAAAACTTGCTCCAAAAAAGAAACAGGGCCCAGAAAAATGGGCCAAGTCTTTCTGTGGTTCTAAACTGTCTCCTGACTCTTTAACACTCCCAGTTCCCCTTATCCTCTGTTTGAGAACTGGATAATGCCAGCAGCCTCAGTACATTTTGATTTTGTGAGCTGAGACAATAAAAACAGCTGGTTCTTTTCATCATCCAGAGAAACTTTGTTTGGATGGCCCCATAGGCAGGCAAAAGTAGGCAATACATCATAGATCTAATGACCAGTCTTTCTGGTGCAAAGTTCAAAAACCTTTTACCTATGACTCTTGAAAACCTCTTCTGTGGTTTATTGGAAGGTGGTTCCAACCCCCAGGATCTGGCACAACTGGTAATCTTGGCATTCTTCTTCTTGATGTGATAGCCTAGTGATCTTCTACACACAGGGTTGGGTCACCATGGTAGTGGGGCAGGAGGATATTCAAGGGTTTGGTGCCCAGCTCCTGTTCAGAACCTCTGGCCCATATGCAGAAAAGGATTCTTTGCCTCCTCAGAGGTTTGTCCCAGCTACTTGCTTCTGTGTTTTACCTCCCAAGGAGCTGATGGGGAGTTGGTCTTCACTACTGAGACACCATTTGAGGGGGAGAACACCACAGAGATGTTCAACTCAGGTCAGCATGTTCCTTCTCCCTTCAGTAGGGTCCCGGGTGTTCCTAAGGGAGCTCTCTATACACCACTCCATGGGTCCTTTGGAAATGTTCTACCCAGGGCTCCAGGTCTGGTGGGCTTCAGTGAAACACCTGTGCGTATGTGAAATGCCACTAAAGGCTTCTGATCATTAGTATGTTCCAGACACCCTAATGGAGGATATATGCACCCTTTTTATGGAGGGCTACACAACCCAAAGAACTGGTTCCACCCTGAAGCAGGGTGGACATTTAAAGTTTCAAACCTAAGGCCCTTCTTAGCCCCATGTGAAAGTATATAGTCCTGCCCTTGTCACCTGTTGAGACCCAGGTACTGCACAGTTGTCTTGGAACTGCACATTCACAACGTGGTTGCATTTGGTAGTGCAGTCAGGAGCTAACTTGGCAGTGCCAGGCTCTAGCACAGATTGCAAGTATGGGTGAGGTCCCCTCTGCAGTGGCTGTTGTGATATGAACCTGACCTGGCCTCTGACTGCATCATGCTCTTGTTGGTGCTACTACTCTGCCATGTGCCTTACTGAAAGAGACCAGTTGCCCAGCAGCTCTGGTTGCTTCTCTCCAACAAGAAGCCACACAAGAAGTACCTTTCTGTGTAGCACTGTCCCTTGGAGGGAGACTTCTTTCTGAGCCCCACCTCTTGATCCGCTCTTGTTCTCAGGCCTAGGTATTGATGTCTCTGGCAGGCTTCTTCCCTGGTACCAGGTCCTCTGTGGAGTCCTGTAGGCTCTGTTTGGGGGCATGGCACTAGCCCAGTTGGCCTGGAATGATACCATGCCTATGGCTGTGGCTGTGCTACAGGGAAGTGCTGGTCAGATGGAAAGCTTGCTCATGCTGCTGCTCTTTGGTGTTTCTCCTCCAGAAGTGGACAGCTGTGAGAAATGGCTGAACTGCAAAAGTGACTTCCTCACTAAGTACCTGAGCAAGGTGCTGACAGATCTGCCCAGCTGCCCCTGCTCCTACCCCCTGGAGGCAGTTTACAGTGCTGTGAACCTGCGGGACGAGCACCATGGCAAGAATTTCCGGTGGCGGGATGCCAGCGGGCCCAAGGAGCGGCTGGACATCTACAAGCCCACAGCCCGCTTCTGCCTACGCTCCATGCTCTCCTTGGACAGCACCACACTGGCTGCCCAACACTGCTGCTATGACGAGCACACCCATCTCATCACACGGGGCAAAGGGGCTGGTGTACCTAACCTTATCAGCACGGAGTTCTCCCCAGAGCTGCACTACAAGGTGGACATGCTGCCTTGGATTCTGTGCAAGGGGGACTGGAGTCGCTACCACGCTGTTCGGCCCCCCAACAATGGGCAACAGTGTGCAGATAACCCCACTGAGGAGGAATACCTCTCCCAGCTGCAGGAGGCCAAGGAGTACTAGCCGGGCTCAGGCGAGTGAGAGGGGAGCAGGATGTGGCAGGTCCAGCCCGTAACCTACCAGGAGAACCAGGAAGCCTGTATTTCCTACTGCAGGGAAAGTCTGCAGGCCACAGTGGCTCTGGAGTTGTCCCTTGCTTAGCTCTCCTTTGGGAACAGAATAGTCCAAGGGAGGGACAAAGCCCCAGGCCCAGCACCCAGGCTCCCCATCAGTGCCAAGCAGGGGTGGGGTGTGGATTTCTTTTAAATCTGGGTTGTTGCAATAGCCTTCCCAGTTGTCTGAGGGGCCAAATTGATTGTCATTGCCCAGCTGTTCTGATGAGGGCATTCTTTTTTACACTAGCTCGCTCCCTCTTGATGGCACAGGAGGCAATGAGTAGCTAGGGGCAGCAGCTGAAGGCAGAGGGGACATACAAGGGGAAAGGGAGCAGTTCCCCATAGTTTGCTGTGAAGTATTAATTAGACTCCCATGAGATGGCTGAGGAGTTTCAGGGTCTTTTTAGAGAAATGCCCTCAGCTTCTGATTTGTCTCCTGTTGTTTGAAGCAGCTGTGCTGGTGGAATGACTGCACTAAGAGTTGCTGCTCTGGTAAAGATTTAGCAGCTTTATCTGGTCACAAGATGCAACTATGTAAGCATTTGCCCCAGTAGTCCTGGGTCTCCTCTGAAACCTGGGACAGATTCTCCTAGGGGAGCAGTGTTATTGAAAAGTCCTGGTGGCGTGAGTAGAATGGGGGCTTGTCTCCCTGGATCTGACATCTCGCACATGGAAACTTTCAAACAACTAGTGAAAGGCCTGTACCGTGCTTATGTGGCTGGGGGAATGGGAGGAGGGTGTGGGTGCTGAAATCTTTGTGAAAACATCACCTCTCCAAGGTGGTTGGGGAGGATAACAAGGCACAACTAGTGCCAAGGCCAGGGGAAGATCAGGACAGTGGGACAAGCAGATATTCACATGGGGCAGGAAAAGGAAATGGTCAAATGTCCATTTGTCAAGTGACCACTTATTCCTCATTTCCAAAGGGGACAGGCAGGAGGACTTGTTAGAAGTCTCATCACAGCTCATGGCTATACCCTGGCTCTCTCCGGCAGACCAGCTTTGCTGTGCGTGGCAGCGTTAAGGCATCTGTGGACTAGCAGATCCCAGACACGTCTTTTTTCTGGCTCATTTTGGGTGCATGAAGCAACCCTGTTCTGTGTCTCTGCATGTCCCCTTGGAAGGAGAAAGAGAATCTCCCTTCCAATGCTGATTCTGCCCTGACTAGGGTTTGCTTCCTGCAGGTGGCAGATGGTTTTGGCATGATAAGGACCACATGGAGTCCTTACCCTTCTGCACATAGACACTTCTTTCCTTGATATCTCCCTCAGAGAGGTTTTAGCCAGTGTGTTCTCCAACCCGCTTCTCTACTGGAGGATGGGGAGAATGATGAAAGTTGGGCACTGCCAACAGCTTAGCATCTGGTTAGAGCAGGCAGACAAGCATCCACCTATTTCTCTTGGGAACTTTCACTGCCCACGTCTTTTCTTCCTCTCATCCCAGCTCCTCACATTCCCATCCACCTAGCCTCTCCTCTGCTAGGCAGTGGGAGATGGAAAGTGTCCAAAAGGTGTCCAATGTCTGGGGAACTGGCTCCAAGGTTGGACCCAGAGAGTGGTAGTTGACAGAAGTGAATCAACATGGCACTTGGTGACTAGTGGTGTCCCCCAAGGCTCTGTCTTTGGATCTGTACCCTTTAATGTCTTCATAAACGATCTGGACACTAGTGTCAAAAGTGGACTGCCCAAATTCGCTGACAACACCAAACTTTGGGGAAGAGTGTCTACACTTGAGGATAGGCTGGTGATCCAGGCTGACCTAGATAGGCTTGCAAGGTGGGCAGATGAAAACCTGATGGCATTCAATACAGAGAAGTGCAAGTTGTTCCACCTCGGGAATAAAAACCCACATCACACTTGTAGGCTCAGCAATGCTACACTTGCTAGCACCATGACCGAAATAGACTTAGGGGTCATGATTGATCACAAAGTGAATATGAGCCACCAATGCAATACCTCAGCTGGCAAAGTTGAACAAAACTCAGGCTTGCATCTACTGATGCATCTTGAGCAGGACCCAGGATGCCATCCTCCCATTGTACTCGGCCTTGGTGAAGCTGCAGCCGGAGTACTGCATCCAGTTCTGGGCTCCACAATTTAGGAAGGATGTGGAGAAGTTTGAAAGAGTCCAGAGGAGAGCCACGCACATGATCAGAGGGCGAGAGAACAGGCCTTAAGAAGAGAGGCTGTGAGCTATGGGACTTCAGACTGGAGAAGCACAGGCTCAGGGGTGACACAGTGGCAGCCTATAAGTGCACACCACTTATGCATCGGGATCTGGGGGAACATCTGTTCACCAGAGCACCCCAGGGGGAAGGCAAGGTCCAACAGTCACACACTTCTGCAAGACCATTTTAGACTGGACATAAGGAAAACCTTCTTTACTGTCCGAGCTCCCAAGGCCTGCAACAGACTCCCCACAAAGGTGGTGCAAGCACCTACTCTGGACACTTTCAAGAAACATTTGGATGCTTATCTTGCTGGGATCCTTTGACCCTAGCTGACTTCCTGCCCCTTGGGCAGGGGGCTGGACCCGATGATCTTATGAGGTCCCTTCTAGCCCTAATGTCTATGGAATCTGTAGATGGGCAGCAGTTGCTCAGCAGGAGGTTGTCTTGTATGCTTGTCATGACCCTCAGTTTGTCTTCAGGACTCCGCAGGGTAGTCATTGACTTCACTCAACAGCTCCCAGCCTCTGGGGCTAGAAGGAACAGAGGGACCAGACCAAAGGCTATATATATATAGCTCCTTGCCACCTTTACTAAAAATTCCTTGGTCATGGCCCACAGTCCTGTTTTTGGACCTGTATGTCACCACCAGAAATGTTCTTTCATTGCTGAAGATCCAACTAGCCCATCCTGCAGCTAGTTTTGTGAATTAGTTTAGGGCATGGAGGTTTGACCATTAACTCGCCCGGTGGACTAACAAATACGCGGTAGGTTGGATCAAGATGTGGCAGTAGTGGCATCTAGTGGTCATTTTGGAAAATAGCAAGTGTGTCATTGTCCTGGCATACAAAAACTAGAACTCTTGGTTCCAAAATTATACCTTTTATTAGACCAACTGGAAAATGGCAAGAAAATTGTCCTTTTCTGCAAGCTTTCAGGATCAAAGTCCCTTTGTCAGGCTCTGGGAAAAGCGTAGATGGTACAAGATGGTAAAAAGTCCCCATAGGTAGGAAATAAACTTCATTTTTGCACAGAGAGAGCTGAAGATGGAAGTCTGTCCCTCTGGGTCCATGAGAGTCTTTGTGAGCTGTGTTGAATAGCTCTTTGATGTGTTGATCAGGTAGAAGTTCTTCCCTGAAGGTGTCAGACGGGAGGCAGGGAGGTAAAAAAAAAAAACTTCCTTGTAGTTCTGCAATGAAGTTTAAAATCCAAAATCGACTGAAATTTGGCATCTTCCATGTTTCAGGGGTGTACTTGGTAGCTGTGTTGGTCTGAGACAAAAAGACATACAAAAAAACTAGAACTCTTGGTTCCAAAATGATACTTTTTATTAGACCAACTGGAAAATAGCAAGAAAATTGTCCTTTTCTGCAAGCTTTCGGGATCAAAGTCCCTTCGTCAGGCTCTGGGAAAAGTGTAGATGGTACGAGATGGTAAAAAGTAAATTGTCCTGGAGAACCCATTGTTCTGTGTGGATGACTGAACTCTGATGGGTGATGGGAATAAGCCACTCGTGACTGAGGGTCACAAATGTCATCTCCTTCCCCAGCAATGTCTTCTGCTTTCTGTGATGCTCCCTTAAGAACTTAGTCACACAAAGTGTGGCAGCCTTGCCCCATCCCACAGCGAATTAGCAGGCAATGTTTAGTTATGCCCTGTCATTTCACTTTAGGCTCATTGATCTGCCTACACATCTTTCTGTGCATGAGATAAGGGTCTCAAAAGTCCTGTCTCAGTGTTCCTTAGCATCTCTTATAGGCTCAGTATAGCAGGGTGAACCACAACTTTCCTCTTTATAATAAAATATGAAAGATAGTTTGTCCCACTGTCATAGAGGGAGTAAGGTGAGAAGTTCATCTGTCATGACAAAGGAGTAGATTCCTAGGTCTGACCTTAAGTTCATGGGAAGGAAAACTCTCCAGGTACAGTGTGTCTTGTTCTTTCCTTCCTTCCCTCATACCTGCTGGCTGTACGTGGAAGCAACCATTAATTCCTGCCTCAAAGACAGTCATGTCCTAATGTCAGAAAGGATGCTGCTGAGTCATTACACCCCCTGCATCTAGAACTCTGCCATTTCCATTGCAGAGGACCCAGGAGACTCAAGATTTGACTAAACCAAAGCGGGTATGGCTAGGAAAGAATGCAAGCATAACAATAATTTACTTGGTGGATGGATTCTACTAATCACTGAGCCACACACATTCAAAGAACTGTACAATTAGATACCATACCCTCTCAGTGGTTGTTCTCGGCATTTCTGGAGTGCCCATTCACTGGTGGGAGCCTTGCCTGAGTTTTCCAGCTCTTCCCATATAATTGACCCATTGCTTCTTCCTCCAAGGATATTTTGTAGCCAATACCAAAGGTTCCCAGTCTTTTGGCTGAGGGTGTAGGCTTTAATGTCACTTCTTCGGTACTTCCCTCAGTGGCTTCTGGGGTACCCACCAGCCTAACATAACAGGCAGCTGTTCAGAGTATCCTGAATAAAACCAATTTAACTGGCAGAGGAAATGAAGAGATAATCAAGTAAAAAAAGTAAGAATAATGGGATCACTAGTAAGCTAGGACTACCCTGAACACAGCTGACTGGTCCATGCCTTTCTGCAGAATATAGGTTAAGTGAGGGGGAACCCTTCCAAGGCCAGAGGTCTCTATATCTGATTGCTATATGTTGTTTCTCTTAAGTGCATAGTAGGTTGGATCAAGACATGACAGGAGCAGAAATAGACTGGAATCTGTTTCCTGGGCTCAGGAGCACCCAATATTTCAGCTGTTTTGGGATCTCTCTATCAGCCCCTCTTGTATCTGTTGACCCTTTTTGCTTCTGTTCCTTGGGGAACACTTTGTCCTGGGTCACCAGCATGTGGGGCACTGTCACTGGTCAAAGTGTGTATTTACCAAGTTGCCACATGCTGAGTGGTCATTGTTTAATAATGATAGTGCATTGTCACTCACAGTAGCTGATTGGTACGGAAGCCCCAAGTTGCTGGCACTGCAAAAACATATACAGACATAGCCCCTTCTGAAAAGAGCTTACAATCTAAGATGACAGATTCTGTATGAAGACTGGGAGGTAGAAACAGAGAACCACTAATTCTAGAGAATGTAGGTATTACTATGTTCTCCCCACCATCATTTGTTGGTGGGTTTCTTATGGATTTTGTGACAGAGGTTGTTCATGAGGAGATATTTGGTTGAGGTGACAGCAGTGGAGTGATGGATCCGTTGCAGAAGAGCAGTCCATGTCTAAGGACAGTGTGGAAGAAGAGAGGTTGCTGTTTATGTGCCAGGCTGCTGAGTGGAATCAGTCAATGATGGAGGGATACACTCATGGACCAACAGATAATCTTTTTATATGTCCTCTTCTACACTGAATGACATTGGCCAACTTTAAAAAAACTCTCTCATGAGTAGAGGCTATTTAAGATCAGTTTGTCTCCTACTGTTTAAGAAATTTCCACCTCTTAAACTTGGCTACATTTCAAACAGGTGCACATTCAGGCAGCGTATCTGCAAGCATCCTTTCTGAGAAGAAGGGCTTCAGGATGTCAGTCATCCAGCTTTGCTAAGCCAGGAGACTTCCAAGTAAACCCTTGCCTTCTATTGAGTACTGTTGCAGGTACCCTCACCCCCATTCACACTGAGTTTGTCAAACAGTACAAGCCTAAAAACAAAAACAGCAATTTCTGTAACAAACCTAGTTCCTATCAGACACCTGGTGAGAACTTCAGCAGCACAGAGCTCCTGTTTAAAAACCCAGTTAAGAGCTGAGTGGGTCTTACACTGTCCTGCTTGGAAGTTTTGGAAGATATAGGCATGAATGGGAGATTGGCAAGCAAGAAGCCGCAGCTCTCGTCACACAAGCACCTTATGCATCCAGGAAGCTTTGCCAAGCATTGCTAGAAGAGTAGGCATTTAGGCAAGTGTTTATTTTTATATCCCATCAAAAATCCTATCCAGACACAACTATTTAAGCTGGTAAAGAACTTACTTTATCATCACCCCCTACCTCGATTGTGTTTTATATAATATAGATATCTACAGATATATATCTATAGATATATGTATCTATATATCTTTTACTCCTACAAAACTGTGTAGTGGGGAATTCTTTATTCTGACTTTGCAATAAAGCACTTTATTTACAATGTATGTATTGTTGTTGATGTTCAGTGGTGTTCAACTGTATAGTGCTGGGTAGTTTTTTGTTTTATGGGACAACATAATGTTAAATGCTGCATATTTGGATCCATGTCCATTGCTGGATTATAAGGAGCCTGACATATTTGCTGACTTTTATTTTTCTTTATTGTTTGTGTTTTGATAGTGATGGGCGAACCGTAAGTAACATGAAGCAGGCATTTCAGAGTCTACTCTGAACCTTGCAGACTCCAAATTTCAGGTGATCAGACACTCCTGGAGGAATCTTGTTCTCTTGGCCTGGTAGTCCCACAAGACTAGCCT